ACCCTATTTTCAAATGTTTCCTTTTTCAATTAGTATCCCATGCTTCCTTACATCTTGTAACTCTGATGAATATTAGTTTTCTTGATTTGAAAAACTTAATTTCCATAATATTACACTTAGGGTCCCATTTTTACTAAAGGTTTGATGTTGGTTAATTAAGTTTTAGACTTTTGTAGCATAGTATCTTGCTAATGATTGGTATGCTTTTTTCTACTATGGTAGGTTTTGATTACTTGAGTAGAAATCTATTAACCATAGTATACTTTTAAAATCAAGTCTTTTTCTTTCTACTATGGTTAGCTTTCCATAACTACAGTTAATTTCTATCTATCATAGTTAGGTAATCAGAACAAGTTGTCCCTTAACTACATGGTGGAGATGGTTAATATGGTTAAGTGTACGTGATTAGTAGGTGATATTACATCATTCACCATTTTAGATGCCTTGATTTTGTCTCAATTGATGCCAGTAAGTCCCTTGGATGGATATCATTTAATAATGCTAAGGATGATTTTGATGATCTCTATCTCACTAACTCTAACTTTATGAATACTTGGTTACCCAGAATTGCTTAGGATTTGAAATCTCTATCCATATCAAATTTTTGGGTTTAATCATGTTGGGGGTGATTGGATGCCTTATCATTGATCTCTTTGATATTTGAGTTTAATTTCTTCCTTGTTAAGAATTTTAGTGATTTATTTTGTTTTTCCCCATTGTCATATTGGTTGTAAAAGTTTTTGCAATCTTGTATGAGATGTTAATATTATTGAATGGGTTGTTAGGATTTCACTATTGTAGGCACAATTCCTTCAACAAGTGTAATTTTCACCATGGGTTATGTCATTTGGCACTAATTGTATTTGAAATTTATCATGATTGCTAGATCCAAACTACATGGGACTGACCCATGCTTCTTGTTGATAGCTAATGACATATTGTAAAATGCATGACGTTGACTGGAAGTGTATATCTATGATTCTTAACAAGGAGACCATGTGGAGAGGATGAATGAAGGGGCAAAGCAAGAGGAAAATGCTCCCAACTATGCTTAAAGTAATAAATTTAATAACAAGTTAACATTGAGCGAGAGATTGCCCCAGGTTTAATTGTTCAGGATTCAAAATGTACCAAATATGAGTTGAGGGTTCAAATCGTCCCTAGGCCTACAATTTAGGGTCTAAATTTCCATTTTACCATATTTTATATATATTGAAAATAGGGAGACAAGGTTGTTGAAATGGAATTTAGGAGTCACTGTTGTATAAAATACTTGTTATTCATGCTAGGTCACTTGTTAATAAAGAAATTTCTCATTAGTTGTCAATGATATATAAGGTACTTGTTATTCATAGTAAGTCCGTTAATGAAGAATATGCTCATTTAGTTGCCATTGTTTTATAAAGTACTTGTTGTTTACGGTGGGTGGCTTGTTAATGGAGAATATGCTCATTTAGTGGTCAATGTTGTATAAAGTATATGTTATTCATGGTAGGTGACTTGTTAATGGAAAATATCCTTATTTAATGATCTTTGATGTATAAGGCATTTGTTATTCATGATGTGCATCTTGCTAATTAAAAATTGCTCATTTAGTAGTCATTGTCCTATAAGAGGAAATGACAACAAGAAAAAGGGAATTGACAACTGAAATAATTTGAAGCGTAATAAGTAGTACATGATAAGATGCACAAGTTATACCACACTAGTTATTTACTTGTGCATTTTATCATGAACTTGTTACATTTTAAATTATTTAAGTTGTCAATATCCTTTGTCACATTGTCATTTCCCCTTATAAGACAATTACTATTAAATAAGCATATCTTCCATTTAACAAGTTAATCGCCATGAATAACAAGTACATTATACAACAATAACTACTAAATAAGTATATTTTCCTTTAACAAGTTACCTACTGTAAATATAAATATCTTATATAGCAGTGACTTGTAAAAGAGCATGTTCTCCATTAATAAGTGACCCACCGTGAATAACAAGTACCTTATACAAAAGTGACTGCTAAATGTGCTAAATGTGAATATTTTCCATTAACAAATGACCCATCATGGATAACAAGTACCTTATTTAGCATTGAATACTAAATGAGCATATTTTCCATTAACACATGACCCACCATGAACAACAAATGCCTTATACAACATTAACTACTAAATGAGCATATGATTCATTAACAAGTGCCCCAATGGGAAAAACAAGTACCTTAAACAACAATGACTACTAAGTTTCATTTCACCAAACCTTGTCTCCCTAAGTTCAATATATATAAAATATTTTGCAAACATTTACCAAATTTCTTCAATGGTCTTGTGGTTTCACAACTGTTTGGGATTGAAGAGGAGGTGTCCTCAAATCCTCCTATGATCAACTCATGAGTAATAATTCACTCACTGGCAGCCAATAGTGGGCTCCAGATCTCCGGTAACTAGCAGTCTTTTTTAAAAAAAAAGGTCAAGTTAGGGTATTTTAGTAATTAGACATAAAATATATTTAAAATAAAATAAAAGATTTTTAGGGTAGTTTGTCCATTTCATGGGACTTTAGAGTATTTAGAATTCCTTTGAGAGACTTTGGAGTGATTTTTCCCTTTATCATCATGTTTTCACTATTCAATCTTATTTACAACCAAGTCCCTTGGGACCTTCCAACTATTAGTGCATTTGTCGGGATTTCTACGTAATTAGAATGCTTATGAGTGATATTATAGTAATTTTCTCAACCTTCTTTATAACCCAAGTAAACACTTGATGTTTTTTCAGTCATCAGGGTTTAAAGATGTTTGTGTAAATATTGCTATAGTTCATTTAAAAGGTCATGCCCAATCAAAGGAAACATGGTTCAAGTCAATCAAAGGAAACATGGTTCACATATAAGTCATTTCATATCGAAACCAACTCATATTTGAATTAATTGAAGTTTATTGTAAATAAAGCAAACAATTGGGCCTAAGCCCATCAAGCCAACTTTTTTAATCTTAAAAATAATTAGGACCAAGCCACTATTTTATGGTGAAAAATGACCAGCCTTTTTAAGCCCTTTTTATTTTTTAAAAAAATATTCAATATGAAAAAAATAAAAGACTAACTAAAAAAAGAAAATCCCTAGACTGTGGATTCATTCCTCCCTCCCTCATCCATCAATATTATATTGATATTGATAATAATGATAATCATCAAGATTTAGTTGATAATGCTAGTAAAATCTAACTTTTATTGGTGTTAATTTTGATGTTGCCATTTAATATTAGACTTAGATGTTTTAGTTTTACACATTTATTGTAGTGTAGATTGACTTAAATTTATTTTGCCTGACTTAATCTTACATGTAATATATATATATATATATATATATATATTTTGGATTATAAATATATTTTTTAAGGTTTTTAAATTGAAAAAAATGGGTTGGCCCTTCAACCTGGAGATATAATCAAATCCTAATTAATAGCTCTAAATGTGAATCTGGATGCCAAAAGGTTTACTATTGGGAAAAAAAGCAAGTAGTCTTACAAAATTTAATGATAAAATGGACAACAGTGGACAAATGCAAATAAAAATGAAACAAAGGAAACAATAAACCGTTTGGGAAAATAAAAGGAAACAATAAACCGCTTTATATGAACGTTTAACAGAGCATATATTGGGAAGGGTAGCTTTTATTTATGGTGAGCAAGCAAGATTTTTTAGCGATAATTTTAGGCAGCGTTTATTAATTATACCGAAAAAAATTTGGATAATAATATCACACGCATGCAATTATTTCACAATATTGACACCGATGTATACAAATTGGCTTCAAAGCCTAGGTGCAAATTACACTGGCAAGTGGTACTAAAGTACATGGATAAAGAGTGGTTATCAAATATTCTTGGGGAATACTCCTTCTAATAAAAAATATAAAATATTTTTAATTAAATCTTATTCCCTAATAATGTAATTACCTATTTTCCAACTAACCTTATATTTTCATATTTATCTCTATTAAATACCTTATAATAAATATAAAGTCATTATTAATAGAAGCACTTCTAAAAAAAAACAATAATTATATCTTAAAAAACTAAAAATGTCTTATATTTTTTAACATCTAACTTTTCAAAAAATACTTTACATTTTTAAACGGAAGAAGTATTTGTTTAATTTTTTTTTAAAAAACAAGTGATCTTAAAATTATTTAGAAGAGTGATAGCCAATCTTTCAATAATGGAAATACGCACTTTTTGAGAGTGATTATTTTGAACAGCTAATCCAATTCAATTGCCAAGATAAAGTGGAAATGATTTTTCTAAAGAAAAGCAATTTTAAAATTCAGACAAATCCCTCATTTTTATCTTAATTAGAATCACGCCTATTTATTCTAATAAATCCAATGAATAAATGAATACTCTCTTACTTCGGTAGTCTACAATTCTCTTTTCAACTTTTGGAGTGAACCCTCAGATTTTTCATGCTGAAACCCTTTCTGATAATACGAAGGTTGAAGAATAGCTGAAAATTATTCTCTCTCTATAAATTTTACACATTGAACCGATCTACATAAATAAACCAATCAATAAAGACAACCATTTTGACTTATCTGACCAGGACAGAAAAGGCTAAAATAATATAAACCAAGGAAAAATAAAAACAATGATGCTAGGGGAAAAAAAGTGTTAATCCCACCATGAAAAATAGTTATTAATACCTAAAAATGATAACTTCCAACAATTAATACAAGCTTTTAAGAGATAATTACATACAGGTTCCACTCAACAAAATTAATTACTCTCAAATCCATTAATAACTGAACTAAAGAAAATGACAACACATTTACATTTACATTGTGTGCTCATTCTCCTAAACTCGGTTTTCAATAGACCTGAGAATAATTAATTGTGTCAAGTAAGGCCTTAGAGTAATTCTCATAGCTTTTAATTAAAATATAGGCTAAACTTAAATGTGCCAATGAATTATTGCACCGTCTATCAACATAATGCTTCATTTCTTCAAACAATTTATCTCACTATAACTATAATCGAACCAAATACAGATCATAACATGCAATCACAGCAAGTAGAGGCATCCTTAAAGCTGGAGATACAGTAAATTATGGTGAGGATGGATCCCTTGAAACTAAAGTTGGCAATGTCGAATGCAAAACACTGAAACAAGATTTATGGTATTGATATGTTGCATTTAATTTCACCAACTTCACAGATTCTCAACTTCACAGATCAGGGTGTTAAGTTTGGGCCATTTCAAGCACTAAGAGTGAGAGATAAAACAGAAGAGAGCCTAAATTTGCGGACTTTCGAAGAACCTTCAGGTTGAAATAAGACCTCGGTACTTGATCTTACATTTACTTCTTTCCACTCTGATGTTGATCCTCCTTCAGTTCTGTAGTCACGCTCAGCAAACAAAACTTGGAGCCTTGAAGGCGCTGAAAACGGAAAAAGTAAATTGAAGAAAATACAAATATTACAAAGTAACATGTAGTTGAACCAAGAAGCTTTAGGTGAAGGAATGCTTGTATAAATTATCTATTTTGTAATGCCTCTGCCTCTTTCAGACTTGGGTAATTAATAATTGAAATTGCAGTCTCATGGAAGAGAACATGAATCACTGGTAGATATTTTAATAGACTAACTCGTCTGCTTGAAGATTAGCAATCAAAGAGGCCAGATAAGATCAATATTTTCAAATACATTACCCAGTCCAAACATGCTTGTTCGTTGAATTGTCATTCGGGAAACTTTTGATCTTCTAATATTTCTCAAAGCTAGGACATCTTCTTGCTTGCCTTTAAATTCCAGGAACTCCCCCAGTATATATTTACTTCCTTTCAGTTCCAACCTGCAAACCAAACTACTTTTTCAGTAAAGTGATTTTTTTTTTTTTTATAATATCTCTGGTAATGCAGACTACGTTCTAAGAAGACGACAACTTAAAGGCCTGATATCTAACACTTCCAAGTTCATGCTCAAAGCGCCAAATAGCACAAGGCTACCAAAGCTTTTCATCAATCAGTATCATTTCCAAAGCTTGAGGGGAGTGCTGAAAATCTAGACGTGATATGTCCAGATTACGTAAAGATCTGGATTTCACTATGTCCAGATTATCATCATGCATTTATCTCTCTTTCCTTTTTTAACCAATTGTAAAAAGTTTCAGGGAGTTGAATCCCAAGAGCTGTTTAAGGACAAACTAGATTTTACAGCTCAAAAAGCAACAATAACAATAGGTCTTATCTCACTAAATGAAGCTAGTTATATGAATTGTACGACACCATAGTACATATCATCAACTAAGCATTTAGGAACATTGTTATCCCACTAAGTGTTCTCATTCAACAGCTCAAAAAGCACTTATTAAAAAAAAAAAAATTATCGATCACACACTGATAAGACAGTAACTAACCTGTCCCAAATTGGAGCTGTGCTAAGGATAAAGTCAAGATTCTGATGCCCAGACTCTTGCATCTCTTTCTTCTCACTACGGAAGGCACTCTTCATCCAACCAGATAACATACTCCTTGACGATGGCTTCAGTTGTACCCATTGTTCATAGGTAATAACTTCAGATGGAAAACTGGTTTCTGAAAACACACTGCAATACAGAGATAACTATCATCTACAGCATGCACTGCCAGAAAATAAATCATAAACTGAGAGATTAACAGTTCCAATTGGAATGAGTAAAATATGTTTTCTGCTTTCAAGCAAGTATATTTGTCCCAGTCTAAAAGGAGCCTGTCCCTAATCTGAGACTTAAAATGAAATAGGACATAAGATTTACAAGGATAAAACCAAAATTATCCTAATCTTCCTAATTGAATTGGTAGAAGAATGCGTCTACTCAATAGAGAACCAAAGGAGTTGTGAACACCAAGAAATCCCCTTGCCAAGATTTCTAAAAAATTTGAAGTTACAAGAAGCTTTTGAGCACTAGGTTGGAAAAAAAAAAAACATTATCTGTTCTTGTATGCCTCTCAATAGGGCTTAAAATTATCCGTTCCACTCTCCTTACTGGTCCCTCCAACGATCTTCTTTGCACAAGTCTAAACCATCTCAAATGATTTTCTACCATTTTCCCCTCAATAGGTACTATGCCTATTTTTTTTCATATGTGCTCATTTCAAATTTTATTTTTGCATGCATATCCACACAACCATCTCAACATTCTCATATCTGCAATTTCAATTTAATGTTTTTGTTGTCCCATTAACGCGCAAAATTCACTACCAAAATTTTGAGAACCAAGACAAAAACAAAAAGAAACTCTTTCAAGACTAACTCTTACATGAAGTTGGCCTTGCATATTGCCCCTATTCTTGTGTTTCTGGTTCATGAACTAACTAAGCACATTGAGATCAATTGTCAATTTGTTCATGAAAAGATACAAAAAAAGGTTGGAATGGAGCTAGAATTGATTATATTTGTAACAACTTGGGCGTGCTTAATATCTACACTCCAACTTGAGGGGGAGTGTAGTAATAGCTATTATGATTGTAGTTATTGTATAAAGTAGAACACCGTCTAGGTACTACACTGTACTACATTTGTTCTCTCTATTTCTCCATCTATCTTTCACTATCTCAATCTATTTATATGTCTATCTTTATAGATACGTCTGTAAACATTCTTAAAAAGAACAAGAAAATAGAATTTTTTTCTCCAATTTTTTTCTTTACCGTTACAATTTTGTTCTCCTCCACCTCTCTCTGCCAGCTTATTAATCCTCTTGTTTTCTTCTTCCTCTAATATTTATGCATGGGTCGGGTCAATCCATGCCCACCATTCATATTTATATATAAAACATAAATAAATATAACATAGGAAAGTTGTACATTAAAATTAGGAAAGTTTAAAATCTAAATATTAAATAAGAAAGTATTCCAATAAAAAATTAGGAAAGGTTTTGAACTTTAAATATTAGATAAAATAAAAAACTTTTCTACTTAAATTTTGTACAAGGCAATATTTATATATAAAATACTTAGATTGTTCTATTATGTCTTCAACTCCGCCTATGTTTATAGCCGGTCCCAAGCTCGGGTAAAGGAGGAGGGTTGTGTTAGGCCATCAACAGCCAATGCAAAATTTTGTTGAATCTATCATGAACATGGACAATAGACATTATAATGTTAATGCGAGGTCGTTGCCCGTAAGTAACGCGCTGCATGGCTCAAGTACAATGATAAGTGAGTTAGAGCCGCTGCATCGGCGCCCAGATGTAGTGTTAAATGAGCAAGGGCTACCGCGTCATTCTGGACGCACGCGGCTAAAGAAGTTAGTCCATGAGAGCAAAATTAGATTTGGTACTTGGAATGTTGGGACATTGAATTGTAAATCTGTATAGGTTGTAAGGGTTATGATTCAAAGGAAAATCAATATCCTTTGCTTGCAAGAAACAAAATGGCGTGGAGAAGAAGCTAAGGATTGATATACAGAAAAAGTAAGTGCATGCAATGAAGTAGGTATCATTATAGATAAGGAGTGGAAAAAGAACGTTGTAGAAGTTAGCAGAATTGGAGACAGAATTATTTCCTTAAAAATGATAATTGGACGTGAAACTGTTAATATTGTTAGCGCTTATGCACCGCAAGTCGGGACAGAAGCCAGTCTTAAGGAATTATTTTGAGAGGATCTAAAGGGGTTGATTCAACACATACCACAAAGTGAAAAGATTTTTATTAGAGGAGACTTTAATGGGCATGTCGGGAGAGAAGCTGGTCAGTATGCGAGAGTGCATGGTGGTTTTGGTTTTGGAGAGCTAAACAATAAAGGACAAACTCTTCTTGATTTCTCATTGGCGTATGATTTTAAGATTGCCAACACTTGTTTCAAGAAGAGAGATGAGCATCTCATCAGTTACAAAAGTGGAGCCTCAAGGTCACAAATTGATTTTCTTTTGGTTAGGAACACAGATAAAAGACTTTGTAAAAATTGCAAGGTGATCCCCGGAAATGCTGTAACGACACAACATAGGGTCCTAGTCCTTGATGTGTGTATTATGAGTAAAATCCAAAAATATCGACAAGTAGTAACTCCAAGGATTAGGTAGTGGCAATTAAAAGGTGAGAAGCAAGATATTTTCAAACGAAATCTTTTGGATAAAGGAATTTGGGAATCTCAGGGAAGTGCTAACATTATATGGGAGGATATGGCTAAAAAGATACGGGAAGTTGCAAAAGTAGTTTTGGGAGAATCAAAAGGTTCTGGTCCGAGAGATAAGGAGTCTTGATGGTGGAATAATAGTGTACAGGACAAAATCAAGTATAAGAAAAATTGTTTTAAAGCCATACATTTGTGTAACAATGAGGAAAATTGAGAGAGGTACCGTATGGCTAAGAAGGAAACTAAGAGAGCTGTGGGTGAAGCTCGTTCTAAAGCTTTTAAAGAATTTTATAAGAGCCTTGAGACGAAGGAAGGAGAGCAAAATATTTATAAGATTGCCAAGAGTAGAGAAAGAAAATCAAGAGATCTAGAACAGGTAAGGTGTATTAAGGATGAAAAGGGAAGAACTTTAGTTACAGATGATGAAAGTAAAAATAAATGGGAGACTTACTTTTCTAAACTTTTCAATGATGGAGAGGGTTCATCTAGTAACTTGGAGGATTTAGTAACTGGTGAAGGAGAACAAAATTTGTCATTCTATCGAATAATACGTGATAAGTAGGTAAAGAAAGCTCTTAAGAAAATGGCAAATGGTAGAGCCAACGGACCTGATTATATATCTATCGAAGCGTAAAAATGTTTAGGTGAAGAAGGGGTGAGATGCTTAAACTAAGTTATTTAATGTAATTTTACAATCCAAGAAAATGCCTGATGAGTAGAGGAGAAGTACATTAATTCCTATTTATAAAAATAAAGGAGATATTCAGAATTGTACTAACTATAGAGGAATTAAACTCATGAGCCACACAATGAAATTGTGGGAGAAAGTAATTGAGCACAGGTTGAGATTGGAGACAAGTATTTCTGAGAATCAGTTTGGTTTTACGCCAAGTAAATCAACTACAGAGGCGATTTATCTATTAAGAGGATTAATGGAAAAGTATCGTTGTAAAGATAAAGATCTACACATAGTTTTTATTGATTTGGAAAAAGCTTATGATCGTATACCAAAAGAAGTGCTTTGAAAAGCGCTAGAAAAAAAGAGAGTACGGATTGCTTATATTAAAGCCATACAAGATATGTATGAGGGGGTAAAAACTAGTATAAGAACGCCGAGTGGTCAAACAAAGGATTTTCCTATAAAGATTGGACTACATCAGGGATCATCTCTGAGTTCTTATTTGTTCAACTTGATCTTAAATATTTTGACGGAACATATTCAAAGGAAAATTCCGAAATGTATGCTCTTTGCGGATGATATAGTTCTTATAGCACAGACAAGAGAAGAGGTTAATTGCAAACTTGAGTTATGGAGGAGGACATTGGAGTCGAAAGGTTTTCGTCTGAGTAGAAGTAAGATGGAATATTTATATTGTAAATTTGGTAAAGGTCTATTCGACAATAATTTGGAAGTGAAATTGGGAGATCAAATTATACCTCAAGTGGAAAAGTTTAGATATTTGAGAGCCATCATATTTTACATAGAATTCAAGCTGAGTGGTTTAATTGGAGAAAAACTAAAGGAGTTATTTGCGACCGTAAGAGGTCTAATAAACTTAAAGGAAAGTTTTATCGCACTGCTATCAGACCGGCAATGTTATATAGTAGTAAATGTTGGGCTCTAACGGGACAGCAAAAGCATAAAGTTGGAGTAGCAGAGATGAGAATGTTACGATAGATGTGCGGACATACACATAAAGATAAAATTCGAAATGAGCACGTACGCAAAAAAGTGAGGGTGGCACCTATTGAGGAAAAAATGATAGAAAATCGATTGAGATGGTTTGGGCATGTACAAAGAAGACCAAGGGAGGCACCAGTGAGAAAAGTGAAACATATAACTTTGAATCCGATTAAGAGAGGTAGAGGAAAGCCTAAGAGAACACTCTTGGAAGTTGTTGAACGCGATCTCTTAATTAATAATATTCCTAAAATCTTGATAAATGATAGAGCACAATGGCGTCTTGCAATCCATGTAGCCAACCCTACCTAGGGAATAAAAGCTTGTTGTTGTTGTTGTTGTTGTTGTTGTTGTTGTTGTTCTATTATGTCTTCAAATACTTTTTAAAACTTGAGTAGTCCATGTTAGATTTTCAAATAACCATTTTCACATTATATATGTGCGCAAGGGGGCCTTGCACATATATGAAGACTATTTCAACTATTATATATATTTGTTTGTGCTCAATACATCATATTTTTCATTGTAGTGCCTGGCTTTTGGGCCTTTTTAGTGCCTCTCATTGGAAGTTTTTGATGCTTTTGACTACCTCCAACAAAATGAAGGATAATGACTAATATTAATAAACTATAGAAGGATAAAAGCAACTGTCTAGATGGCAATTTAACACTTTCATAATTTATAGTAAATTTCCAAATTCACCAAAATTATTTTTATTGCAGAAAACAATGTTGAAAGTACATATGATACTTAAAACTGCACTTTTACAACTTGCATAGCCAATAATATATTCAGTCTCTATAAAATTAAATTTTTAATTTTACAACTTTTAGGAGTTGGACGAATTACAAAACAAATAAGTTGACTGTGAGAGAGAGAGAGAGAGAGAGAGAGTATTATTAGATACTGGAACATGAAAGCCTTGCTATTCCTAGTAACAATAGGAATTTAAAAATCATACCATAGTTTAGGATTTGGGAGTATAACTTTACAAGATATGTATCCTTCAGGAAGAGTAACTCCTCTTTGTGCAAGATATGATTCAAGGATAGACGCTTGCTTTCTAGCTTCCACAACCTAGATGAAGATAAGTGAGAAAGGAAGAAAATACAGCAAGACAATTAGCCATGTTCTTCTCATAATTGTTTTACCAGTTTTAAAATCATTGAACAAAGTCATTGATATGCAAGCAAGATTAACTTTAAAAGAATTACATGATTCTCCCACATCTAAGTCAACCTGAAGAACTTATGACGCATGCAGTGATTCTCATTAACATTATCTTGAGTAACGTCCACTTCAAATACCATAAATATAGTTTTACAAATTACATATCCAATTGTGAAAAATTCAACGGGTCTAAAGGAGGAGAAGGCCCCAGCTGCGTCTGAAGGGGGAAATTGTTAAAGAAGTGAAAATAGGCTAGAATTAGGAGCAGATGAAGGTAGGCAGCTGATAAGGAAGAACTGGGTTCTTCCAGAGAACAACCTTGACACTGCCAGAAGGGTATTCTCTTATCGTTTTCTCAATCATTTAATACTTCCATTCATAGTTTCCTATTGTCAGACTCTGTTTTCTGGTTTTCTGCATTGATTTTTGTTTATTTCTTTGTCTGGCAGCGGCAGTGTTATTCTGGTTCTGTTAGAATCTCATTAAGAAATATGTTCCTAACAAATTGGCACCAGAGAACTTTTCTCCATTATATGGCCAAGATGATTGTGGAGAGTCCCCCACAATCACCAGCGCCAGGAGGAAACACAGAAATGCCATTCAGATATTGGTGGGGGAGGTGGCTGTTTCCAGACAATTCAACTTTGAACAAGAAGCTAAGGCTCCCTGTTTTACATGCAGATGACCAGATGGGTTGGATTCTTAGAAGTGAAAAATATCATGGGGTGAATGAATTTGTTCAAGAGGTGTCCTAAAATTGTCAAGTCTATGAACGGTAAAGTGATAATTTGCCACTTCATGCATATGTGAAGGGGCATGCAAAAGAGGATAACTATACAGTAAACCAAATTCCATGTTCCTTGCTGATGGGCATCTTAGCCCAACAGAAAATTATCACAATGCATCTTGCTTGGCTTTCATCATTGTCATTCACTTACTCATTATTTCCAACATTCATGACTAAATGTCAAATTTACCATTTAGAGAGAACATTTATCCATGAAATTATAATTTAGAACATAATGAACAAAGAAAACAAACAAAAGCAATGAATAACTAAAAGAAAATTAAGCCAACACCAATCCACAGCATATGATTACATTCTGCCTTGTTTCATGTTCAGCCATCATCTGCTAACTAGTTACTACAGTCTTCATGATTAAATATCTCAAACTTACCGCTAAGAAACAACCTTTATCATTTGTCTCTTCTCCTTCAGTATCAAGGTATTGAAATACACATAAAAACACCGAAATGATAAGCAACAAATCAAACCCCTATCCCTCATTCAAATATATAATCCTTTCTCTATGCCACTGTTTTGTTTCTTTTCATTCTTCCCCCAAGAATTTGAGCAGATTTTCATTTGGGGATTAAAGAGTTGTTAGAGAATAGAGACCTTACTAAGGATGACAGCATACAGTCCGAAAGAGAGAAAAGTAAGGAAAAGAAAAGAGGAAAACAAAGGCCAAAAAGATTAACAATAAAACAAAGCTATCCAAACTCCTATCCACACACTAGAAATAGGAAAAACAAGAAGCGCCAAAAGGTAACCATAAACACTATCCTATCTTCACAAGACCATAAAAACAATAGAACACCTACAAAAAACAGGTATTCCTATCAATCCAAATGCACCATGCCAACAAAGGGATGGCACCCTACCCCAAAGCTTTTGGTCTCTTTTCTTGCCAAAAACTTAATGGCCTCTTTTTCATACAGCTAATCAATTCACACAACATGGATGATGGGAGTTTAAGAAACATAGCTCAATATGAGGAAGTAGGGGACCAATTATCTCCATGATTTACAAGCATTTACATTCCTTGATTTTTAGGATTTCAGTGTCAGTTTCTAACTACCTATCATTGAAAGTAACAAATATTGGATAATATAAAAACCCCTAGGATTAGTTTAGACATTCTATTTGTATTGGGTGAACAAGTACTCTCTGTATCAAGTTCAGCATTGGACAATTTGTTAAGAGTCTTGCATTCACCAGAGCCTCCAACGGCCTTTGTACATGTCCAAGATATCTTAGATGATTTTCTACCATTTTCTCCTTAATAAGTACCACACTAGCTCTTTCTCATATATGATCATTGTGAATCTTATCTTTCCATGTATGTCCACACATCCATCTCAGCATCCTCATCTCTACTACCTCAACTTTATATTTTTGTTGTCGTTTTAAAACCCAACATTTACTACTATGTAACTGATGGGTACCTAAGTGGGATAGAGAACCCTACCCCAAAAGCCAACTATTAAAGTGGAAGAACCAACTCACTTATATACCCCATTGAGCATCCCACACTATTCAATGTGGGACTTGATATCTCATACTACCAAGTCTCCATCAATTGGTCCCCCATGGAAAGCCCACATCCCGATGGCTGCACTCAACAACACTTAACTCGGTCTCCTTCCGGTCAGAACCCTCTGTGGATAGCCCTCTCCAGAACCGCCGACAACGAAGCTCCGATACTAATTGATGGGTATCTAAGTGGAATTGGGAGCCCTACCCTAAAAGCTAACTGTTGAAGTGGGAAAACCAACTCATTTATATACCCCATTAAGCATCTCATACTACTAAATGTGGAACTTCGTATTCCATATTATCAAGTCTCCCTCAATAACACAGTTGGTCTAATAGTAGTGCGATAAAATTTTACTCCATGCTTATTAAGCACTTTTCAATCACAAATAAATCATGTAGCCTTTCTTCGTTTGAACCAATTAACTTGCATTTTATGTATAACATCTCCATCAATTTCACCATCATCTTGTATAATGGCTCTTAGATATATAAACTCAGTTATGTGTGGTACGATCTTATCTCCCAATTTAACCTCCCAAGCACTACTAACGTGTCTCTTATCAAAGTGACAATGCACATATTCTGTCATACTTATACTCTAGCGAAAACCCTTTGACTACAACATTCCTCTTTATAACTAAAGTTTATAGTTAATCTCTTCTCTTAACTCCACAATGAGAACTAAGTCTCAGCAAAAAGCATACATTTGGGGATTTCTTCTTGTATATGCTCAATTAAAACATAAAAAACGAGGTCAAACAAGTAAAGGCTCAAAGATGATCACTAATGTAGGAAGAAAGGGGGAAGATAAAGATGTACAGCAGCCACACACCCACATTTGGTTTGCTTGAAAAGTATTCCCTAACTTATTCCATGGAAAGATTTTGGCTCAAAAACATTTCCACAGTAAAGACTATAGGAAAACACCATTTTGTTGGGGATAAATGGGAAATGTCAAAATTGCCCAACATTATATCACCTACACTTTTATCTTTTATGTATTGCTTTCTAAAAAATAAGGATATTTTGGTTATTTCAATTGTATTTATTCCTACTCCTTTTTCTATCTCTATCATACCAAATATTGCTTCGAGAAATATTTCCTTTCTTATCTGATGCATACCAAACATTACCTTTTCATTCTCACTACTGTTTCTATTTCCATTCCCATTCCCTTACATCCATTCTAGTATAACAAACATACCGTAAGCCTAGTGATAAAACACTCGGCCAAGTTGAGACCAGCAAAAGGGTCATTGTGATTCCTATCACCTAGGATTCTTACTGACAAAGTGGAAACAGAGATGAGAAAAGGGAAGCATGGCTCAAAGGGAGGGAAGGTACCAGTAGCTACTAAAGCTGAATACCAAGCAAAGCAAAAAAAGGGGATATTGCAAAATGCCACATAAACCACATATATTGGAACAAAAAATTACACAACAAAGGGGGAAGAAAATGAAGAGGAAAAGGGAACAGACACGGAAGAAACTGTGGTTAAAGAAATCCAAATGGAATTGTGTATGAGTTCCAGTGATGGGCTTTGCACAACTAAAACCATGAAATTTAGAGGAAACTTCAGTAATAAGAAGATAATTATACTAATTGAAAGCAAAGTGATATATAACTTTATCCCAAAGAAACCTGTCTCCAAGGTGTAAGTTCTGATAAAGACCAAACCACTAAAAACTTTGAGGTCATGATGGGAACAGCTGGCAAGAAAACATGGTTGAGCAAATCGATGGTGAAAGAAAACTCTTGAACCCTCTGACAGGACATTAGATGAAACCCCAATAAAAAGATATAAAATTATAACAAATAGCATTCAGAATAGTGAATACAATACTCATAATAGGAGGTATATGCATCATTTCAATTCCATTCTAATTCAAGCCATCTGATGAACAATACCAATCAAGCAATAAATACGTTGTTTTTCTGTTTCTGAAGAAGAAACACATTGAAATGATTCCTTACAGGATCAGGGCGATTCTTTACTCTATGTCTTCCTGGCCTTTCACATACCCAATCACCACCAGTGCTCACTGACACAAGTCCTGAAAAGTTCTTGACAGAGGCAACTACTAGCTCTCTGCATGGTTACAGTTAGGAAGGAAATAAAAAATTATTATAATTAAAATACTTTCCACTAACTATCCAACATCTTATCAACTAGTAAACGGAGAAAGATGCGATAAAATAAGGGTTTTCTTTATAATAAGGAAAAATAAGAAAGGTCATTCGGGTATAATATTTGTCCTTCTTCAATTATTTGAATCCAGATGGGAAAAAACAGCAGAAAAGCCAAATCATTTATACAGGTTATACTGTTTCACGCATTCTATTTCATTTTTTTCTGCGTGCATATAAGAGTACATATAGCACATGCAGGCACCCCATTCTTAATGAAACCGTAATACACGCAAAAATAAAACAAAAGAAAAAATGATGATCCAAACAAATTTTAAAATCCAGAAACAAGAAAAAGTCATAATACCCTTTCGTCACAAGAACTATATCTATGCTCTGTCGGGAGCCACTATCAGCATCCGGAATTCGAAGCCCTAGATACACATTTCCTCCATAAAGCTTTTTAAGTCTGAAAATAAAAAACGTAAATATTTTTACTTCTTCGACTCGAACAAAATATAAGTCCTGAATAACGGATAAACAACAAAGCAAGCCCAAGATAAATTCGTTGCTATTCTCACCTTACTTCTCAGAACTGGTTCGATTTTCGCAGTGATATGCGGGTAAATTAAGGGCAACTAGGTTCAAAACCTCAACAGGGTTCTTCCAATCATCATTTGCCTCTTTTTATTCAAATTTTTAACACAACATTTGAATTCTAAGCTGAAATGTTGAAATTCAACCGAGAAAAATTACCTGTCAGCGACTGAAAAAAGAGCATTTGTGTCAGAGTATTCAAGGTCCATGGTGTCATCGTCATAGAAGAAGCATTTGAACAACTTGTAGATGATTAAACCGCAAACAACCGCCACCCACATGGTTGGCAAAACTTGGAATGGAAGTGAATTTCCCCTTGTTTATTTCCTCTGGACAGGCTCAAAAGAGCGAACGGGAGGGGTGTGTGATGCGTCTTCTCTTTCTTCCATTGTAACACAGGCTCCGTCAGCCTTTTCTAAGCAGCCCCACCTTTATTATTTGATAAAAGGGAAAATTGTTCATGAATGCCTCACCACATATTTAATTAGGAAAAATTGATTAAGAGAATCAGGTTAGAACCAAAAGGAGTCCCAAGGACCAAATGCTATTGAAGGACCAATCTCATTTTTTTATTATTTTTACTTTGTATTTTGCTAACCAAAATGCCCCTCTCTTACAAAATGGAATTTGAATGCAAAAAACCACCCTCTCTGCTTGGCTTCTTCACATGACTTGAACTAGAAAAGACTAGAGTGCTGGTGAAGGACGTTCTTCCAACAGAAAATCAACGATAGTGTGAGCTATGAAAGAGTTGTAAGCGATGAGCATACAAAAAGACAACCTCATCTCTATGCATAGTGCCCTAATCGAAGGACTTGTGATCGACAAGTCTTCAGTGACGAGTTTCAAGCTACTTCAGAGTGCTGGCGGCCTAAGGGACAAAAACCAAGCACACATTATGTCTCAAAGCTTCCATTTTGTCCGAGCGAGCATAGTTGTGGTTTCCTCTTATTCTAAGTTGCTCCCTCTACTGTACATGCCATCTAAACTTAAGTGAAATTTGTCTTCTCATTTAAACTTTGGTTATCTCTATTCACATTTGTTATTGACTGTGAACTTCTAATTGATAAATCTAGTACTCTTCAAAAAATTTCATGTGAAGTAATCCATGAACAGAGTTAGGTGTGCAAAAATTATATATTATTTGTACTAAAATTTCATGTAAAATGAATATAGCCTTCTATGTTTGTTGATGAAAAAATTGTTCATGGAGTGTTCAAATACCTGCAAAATGAGAATATCAAAGGTCAATAGTGTGATAATTATAAAATTAGAAAATTATAAGTCCAACTAGTGATAGGGACGCGGAAGCAGAATCGTGCTAGTTTAGGGACAGAACCCTGAAACAACAAAAACACAAGAAAAAAAAAGAAAGGGATGAAATTTATGACGAAAATAAAAAAAGGTATAAAGTAAACAATAGGATAATGATCAAGGAGAAGATCCTCTAGAGCACCTGCCTCTAGGAACCTCAACCTTCGAAGACACCACAAGAGTTGATCACGCTCTTGATCACGTCGGTTTCTCACACGGGATACCACCACAAAGCACTAAGGCTCACAAGAGTTATAAACTCTAAAATGAATAATTTCATTCAACTTCTGTGTTGCTTACAATAGGGAGCATGCCTAATTTATATAGGCTCATAGAAAAATATTTCCTAAAATTAAAACCCTAATTTTCTAATACTAAAAGGAGAAATAATATAAAATAATGATAAAATATTCAGCCACATAATTTAGGAGATGTGATCCTAAAATTATGGGATTACAAAATTTAGAAATTAATATTATAATTAATTCTAACCTTTGACTAGACTCAAAATAGAAAATCAAATCAAAGGACCATTAAAATAGGAAATAATTTAGGAGACAATTAAGGGATTATAAAGGATTTGAAATCACGCCACCCTTGACTTCTTTACTAGGGTTTCATGCCTCCTTGCATGCAAGAGGCTCAACTTGTAGTCTTCCTTGCATTGGGCTAAGGTCTGCATCTCTTGGGCTTGACTCTTCATGAGTTTGGATCTTAAATACATTATACACGTATAGATGCTCTCCTTTGGACTTGAGGGGAGTGCCCCAATGCTCTCCAAGCTCTTGAACTTCTTGCACAAGACTGAACAAGGCTTGCTTCATGGCTTTGGTTCGGGCTCTTGTCATTGGACCTCCAATATGTTGCAATGGGTCTTTAGGTACGTTGGATTGGAAGTATTGGGCTCCTTCTATGTCACCATGCTCATGATTACCATCCTCAGGCTTTGTTGCCATTAATGCTATGTCACCTGTGCCATGGGGTCCATCATTCCCTCCCAGTTGGAAAGGATTCGTCCTCGAATCTGCAGAATCATATAAAGATAAATCAGAAACATTAAATGTGGCACTAACATTGCCATAAGAGCTAGGCAAATCAATCTTGTAAGCATTATCATTAATTCTTTCCAAAACTTGAAAAGGTCCATCTCCTCGAGCTTGAAGTTTGGACTTCCTTTGATTAGGAAATCTCTCTTTCCTTAAATGTAACCAAACCCAATCTCCAGGCTCAAAGATCACACGTCTCCTGCCTTTATTAGCTTGCTTGGCATATTGCTCATTCTTTCGCTCTATATTTGCTTTAACCTTAGCATGTAAGTCCTGCACAAACTTAGCTTTTTCCTTGCCATCAGTGTTAGCATGCTCAGAGAAAGGCAAAGGTAAAATATCAATAGGAGATAATGGATTGAAACCATAAACAATTTCAAATGGAGAATAAGAAGTAGAAGAATGAACAGCCCTGTTGTAAGCAAATTCAATATGAGGTAAACAATTCACCCAATTCTTCAAATTCTTCTGAATTATTGCTCTTAATAATGTAGTCATAGTTTTGTTAACTACCTCAGTTTGACCATCAGTTTGTGGATGGGCAGTAGTGGAAAAAAGTAACTTAGTCCCTAATTTATGCCATAGGGTACGCCAGAAATGACTAAGAAACTTCACATCTCTGTCACTCACAATAGTCTTAGGTAAACCATGCAAACGAACAATCTCTTTAAAGAATAAGTCAGCAATGTTAACAGCATCATTAGTCTTAGCACAAGCAATAAAGTGTGCCATCTTAGAGAACCTATCAACAACAACAAATATGGAATCTTTGCCTGCAGAAGATTTAGGCAATCCAATTACAAAATCCATAGAGATATGTTCCCAAGGGTGAGAGGGGACGGGTAAAGGAGAGTAAAGTCCATGAGGTTGGATCTTAGATTTTGCCTGTCTACATTTAATGCATTTATCACAAACAGATATGACATCTTTCCACATGTGAGGCCAAAAGAAATGATCAGACAAAATAGCCAAAGTTTTATCTACACCAAAGTGTCCCATCAAACCACCACTATGTGCTTCCTTAGTAAGCAACTCACGCATAGAACAAATAGGAATGCATAATTTATTTTTCTTAAAAAAAATCCATCAAATTTAAAGAAATCACCAGATCCATGATTTTCACAAGATTTCCAAATATTTTCAAAATCAGGATCAGTTTTATAAAGATCTTTTAGAATCTCAAAACCAAGTAATTGAGCATGCAAATAGGAAAGTAATGTATACCTTTGAGATAAGGCATCAGCAACGATATTTTCTTTACTTTGCTTATGCTTAATCACATAAGGAAAGGTTTCAAAGCGAGCATGTCTCTTGTTTAACTTACCTTGAGACTTGAGAAACTTTAAACTTTCATGATCAGAATGAATGATGAATTCCTTAGGCCACAAATAATGTTGCCATGTTTCTAAGGCCCTCTTTAGAGCATAAAGCTCTTTGTCATAGGTGGAATAATTCAAAGCTGCGCCGTGAAGCTTTTCACTGAAGTAAGCTATGGGCTTAGAATCCTGCATTAAAACAGCACCTATACCAATACCAGAAGCATCACATTGAATTTCAAATGCTTTAGAGAAATTAGGCAAAACAAGTAAAGGGGCATTAGTCAATTTATCCTTTAGGGTTTGGAAGGCCCTTTCTTGTGTTTTATCCCATTTAAAGGTCGCATTCTTCTTAACAAGTTCATTAAGAGGGGCAGCAATGCTAGAGAAATCCCTAACAAATCTCCTATAGAAGCTTGCCAAGCCATGGAAGTTTCTCACTTCACTTGCATTCTTAGGGGTTGGCCATTCACGAATAACCTTAACTTTCTCCTCATCTACACGAATTCCCTGTGATCCAACAACAAATCTCAAAAAGATAACAGAGTCCATGCAAAAGAATACTTTTGAAAATTAGCATATAACTTATATTCCCTTAAGATGTCAAACACATTTTTAAGATGATTCATATGATCAGTCAAAGATTTACTATAAATCAAAATATCATCAAAGTAAACCACAACAAACTTGCCTATAAACTTTCTAAAAACATGATTCATTAATGCCATAAAAGTGCTAGGAGCATTAGTCAAACCAAAAGGCATAACTAACCATTCGTATAATCCAAATTTAGTTTTAAAGGCAGTTTTCCATTCATCACCCTCTTTCATACGAATTTGATGATAACCACTTCTAAGATCAATTTTAGAAATGATAGAAGCACCATGTAATTCATCAAGCATATCATCAAGTCTAGGGATAGGGTAACGATACTTTACAGTGATTTTGTTGATTGCTCTACAATCAACACACATCCTCCAAGATCCATCTTTTTTTGGCACCAAGATAACAGGGACAGCACAAGGGCTAAGGCTCTCACGCACAAAGCCTTTCATCATCAATTCCTCTACTTGGCGCTGGATCTCCTTAGTCTCTTCAGGGTTAGCCCTATAAGCAGGCTTGTTTGGAATAGCAGCTCCAGGCAAGAAATCTATCCTATGCTCAATTCCTCTTAAGGGAGGAAGTCCATCAGAATTTCATCAGGGAATAGATCTCTATAATCCTGCAACAAAGAGACAACACTAGAAGGCAAAGTGGGGTCAAAAGTATTAGAAGAAAAATAAATATTGGGAATTACAATAAGAGCTTGCTCACTCGTCAAAGCCTCTTGAATCTTACTTTTCCCACACAATAATATTTTTTTTCACTATTTTCCTTCACTCCCACCATTCTATTTTTTTCTTTTCTCACCTTCTCACCACTCTTTTTCCTCTCTTTTGATTGATTTTCAAGTAAAGTAATACTCTCTTTCTTTTCTCTCTCACTCATGCCACAATCAAGGAGATCTCTCCTTTGCTTGTAATCTTGAGTAATCTTTAGTTGATCTTCTTAGGCTTGGATGGGCCTAAGAGGATTTAATACAACAATCTTGCCTTTAAAAGGCACCTTGTAACAATTTCTAAAACCATCATGAGTAGCCTTTATCAAACTGCCAAGGCCTACCTAATAACAAGTGTCCAGCAAGCATAGGGGCTACATCACATAATACATCACAAGTATAAACTCCAACAGAGAAAGTAATCAACACT